TACATCTATATATTATCATATAAAGCTTTTATTCAGTTTTCAAGTTCCATGACCACCTGTGTCTCTGCAATTACGGCTCGATGGTTTTGAAACAGTTGAAAAAGTTTGAATCAACTGCCGTTAAATGTTAATGTTAAGAAGTGCTTCTGTAATTGCATAGAAAAAGTTTGATGTACTGTTTCTTCATTTGTTCAGAGCATTGTGGACCGCCGATTGTCGGGAGAATCTGCTAGAAGCTTCCCCTATACAGCGGCACCAGTTATGTACAGGCCACCTTCCTCAGCTGATGTGGCAGAAAAAGTTTCAGAAGCAGGAGGAAGATCTCAACTGGAAAGGAACGTCTCAGCTGTACAGAGAAAGGGATATACCAGTGATGAGGAGCTGGAGGAGCTGGATTCTCCTCTAACATCCATCATTGACAAATTACCGTCATCTCCAACTATCGTAGCAAATGGAAATGGAAAACATGAGCACACGGGTCATGCCTGCATGAATGCGAGGTACGAACTGCTTCGTGAGGTGTGGTCTGGGTAAATGTTGAAGGAGCAGACTCCGGACTCTATGTATACCTGTTGTTTCTGTATCAACAAAGTTATGGAGAAACTTAAACAGAACTGTGAATAATGAAGGCAAATATCAAGAGGATTTGAAGTCTTTAGGCTATTCTCAAAATATGGCTAAAGCCATTAGTTTTGTGTAATCTTTGTTTTTTGTATATTTATAGTGAGCTTCGTTATCATATATCAAATGATAGAGATTGCTTCATGCTCAGCGAACTCGCGAACTCAGTCTTGAATAATCTATCCAAGTTTCGACCAAAAAGAAAAAGAATAATCTATCCAAGTGCAGCAGAAATGACGCTTCTGTCATCGTCTTCGAAATTAACATAATATTTGATTTCTTATGTGTTAGTAACGCATGAGAAGTGAAAAATTGGACTCATTCAAATACCAATGTGTTAGTAAACACATGAGAAGCATGAATTGGAATGATTCCGATATCCATGTATAGTAACAGAATACTGAAGGTAGTGTTTTTCACTCTCCGTTTGGCTTCCATCACTTCAAACTAGGGGTGGGGGAGGTGCGTCGGGAGAGCGGGTGAGGCTTGGCGGGTAATAAGTTGGCGTGGGGTGAGAGTGGATGTTGCGTATGTGCTGTGCTGTGCGTATGTGCTGTGCTGTGCGTATGTGCTGTGTGCTGTGCGTATGTGCAGTGGGAGCCTTTGCCCAAATTGCCAAGCAAGCGATATGACTGATAATTGGGCTGGACTTTTCCAAAAGGGGCCTAGGCTTTTTACCATTCACAATCAGCACTCTTCACCGTTCTTCCCAGGTTCTACCAAAAATTGTCTTAAGCCCTAAAACCCTAAAACATGAAACGCGGAAAGTATTCCCAACTCCATGGCACTCCTAATCCGACCCTTACGAAAATCCGTGGTTTTTCCTCCTCCTTCCTCCAAAATCGTAGTTCAGCAAAAACCCACTTTGCATTTTGCCCCTGAAAAACAAGTCTCCCTCTTAAACCCCAGGCTCCTACCAACACAATGCCTAAGCACTTACATCTCTGAAATGCTTCTTCAATCGGCCTTCCAATCAAACATTCTCAGACTGTTACGCAATGAGATACAATACGAATTCGATCGCTCTCCTCCTAATCAGGTGTCCACTTAATCCTCTCCCTCCTCCTCCTCCGTCTTTTGCTTATTTTTCGTTTTTAAATTTTTATTTATTTTTAACTTATGATCTAGAAGTTGGACATTAGTCACTAGTCTCTGTTTGGTTGCTGAGAATATGAGGGAAAAGAAATGAATTTGGAAGTGTGTATGAAGCTTAACGTTTGGTTCGAGAATTGGGTACTTGGAAACCTTTTTTTTTTTTTTTTTTTTTTGGGTCACATTTGATGGGGATTCAACCTGGAAAGTTTAAAATCAGTTCTTTGTTTTGGGGTTGATTCGTTACTTGTGGGGTAAAATCATAAACTCCAGAAAGAAAAAGACAAAAAAGAAAAGAGAAAGAAAACAAATGAAGTACTACTAGAAAGCCTATATGATTTTCTTTCGAATAGGTTTACTAGATAGATACTGAAAGTTGCGTTGAGTCCATTCGATTGGTGTTCTGATAAAAGTTTAAGCAATGTAATAAGAATTTTTTCATTAATTTAGACCAAGCCAGAAACAAGCTAAAACATGAGTTTGACTTAACTTTTTGGCAGAGACACCTTGGTCAGACTCCCGAAACGCTTCAAACCCACGATATTACAACCAAGGAGACCATTTTGCTCCAAGGCTCCGAATACAAACACCACCACAAGCTATAACCAGAGCGGTGGCAATGCTGAGGAGACAAGTCTGAGTAGATACCAGGACTCGCTTAAACAACTGGACAAGCTCGACTTCATGAAAGCTGCAAAAATCCTCTTCACTGGTCCACCTTCCAAAAGGAAGTTTGGGTATTGCTTTGCTTTGCATTTTCTGCTTCTTTCATTTGTTCTCTGTGTTGGTTTTGCTTTTGTTCTTCTTAAATCTTGTGGGTTGTTTTTGGTTCTCATTGGCATTGCATTAAACAAATTTACATGTTTGTAGACACTAGACACTTTGTAGCCGGGAGAATGTTAAAATGAAAAATTTATTGAAATTGGAAGCAGCATGGTGGGTGTTTTAAGGTTCAAATGAACGAGTGCTAACAAAGGTTGTGTGGAAAATATTGAATTTGAAGCCAGTTACTAAAGCACCTGTTTAGGGTGGTCTGGATTTATTAGAAGTTGTTTAAGGATAGGAAAATGTTCAAGCAGATGTTGGTGTATGTGTAAAACTTGATGGAATGCATTTTAGTAACCCAAATAAATCATTCCCATTTTTTGAGTCTTTAATTGTTAGAATTTCATATTTGGAGTTAAAAGGAAACAAATTTAATGATTAGGTATTTGGTAATACATAAGTACTGGGAAAGGAACTTAATGCACCATCATCAGTTTTGCAGCAAGCCGCTTAATTTTCATCCCATCTAGGCTAGAATGACCTAATTTGTAACTGCGTGCTCCAGATTATTTGCCAAAGAAATATTTACTGAACGAGATTATCTGTACTTTGAATATCCTGTTGGTATATTCATCTTTGTTGCTGAGACATGTTCTTGCCTTTCACCTTTTCATGGCCAGGCTCGATTTCCATTTGGTACAACTGTTCTTTGTTTGCATGCCTTCCTTGGGTACGTATGATGTTTCATATTTGGTTTTCTCATGGTTTCACACAACTATGTAAGAACTTATTTTGTGTAACAGCTGTGTATCTGGTGGCTCAATATGCTCGCTACGAAATCAGAAGAATGGAAGCGGTAACTGAACTTTTATGCTTTTGTGCTGATATCTTTAGGCTAAAGAGTGCATAAATATTAATTGCTCTTTATTGGATTGTACGCCATTTTGTGTTTCTTCCATCATAGACCATCATCTATCTTTTTCCTTTTTTCTTCCGCTTTGCTCTAAATCTATGATACTTCTTCCATTGTTTGGATTCCCCATTTACAATCCAAGGATACTCCTTAAGAATCTGTCTAGTTTTCTAAACAACCTTTTCAGAAACAGGCTGCAATGAATTTTTTTACTGATTCACTCATCTGGCTGTTTATTTGCAGCGTACACACACACACCCCACACACTGGGTTTCCTTTCTTTCCTCTCCTCACCAAAATCACCATCTCAGGAACTGGAGCAGAAAAAGAAGAAAGAAGAAGAAGCGAAAGCAAAAGAAAAAGAAATAGAACTAAAGGCTGCTGAAGAAAAAGAAGCCTCTAATCCGGAACTTTTGGAGGTAAGAGTGAGACTAGATAAACTTGAAGAAACTCTGAAGGAAATTGTGGTTGAATCAAAGAAGCAAATGAATAGTGGCCAAACAAAAGAGCATGAAGGAGGAAAGGAGAAGAAAGATATTGTAACAGAAGCAAGTAGCCGTAGTAGTTCAGAATCTAGCAAGCCGGTTGAGAAAGATCCTCTCAGTAAACAGGATTCTGTAGAACCAGGACCAGCCCTCAGCAAAGAGCGGGTAGTAGGTCAGCACCCGGTTCCTAATGCTCACTTGCAGGATAAGGAGGGCAAGACCCCAGCTTCTGAAGATGCTAAAAGATGAATTGAAGTTTTTTCAGCTATTGTCTATAATTTTTGGTGTAGCATAGGCAAGAGGAAACACATGGATTGAACAAAATGATTTTTAGTTTAGGAGTATGATACGAACTCAATTATCTTTTCTTCTTCATCCTTTTCTGCTTGCAAAATGTATGCAAGAAATACTTGCAGAGCTTTTTTCCCAGTCTTTGTCACTTCGAATATCTTGAGAGCAGACTTTCGTTGCAAGAGGAAAGTGATGGTTGCTTTCAAACAATAGGAAACAATCTGGTGTTTCTGTTCTGATTCGTTGTGTGGCTGTTGGTTCTTGAGTAGTATCTGAAGCAGGAAATGCAACTTGCATTGGTCACTTTTGAAACAAATTGGCCTTATGATTTGTGCATATGTTGAGTCCGTACCTGCACTTGCATGCTTACGAAATGCAAGGATGCATGGACTTCAAATTGTCGGTTCTACTTAAACTGGTGGATTTTTAACCGTCTCCTAACTTAGCGGTCTCATTATTGGAATCATGTTCGAAGTTTGGTACTAGAGTTGTAACTTCAGCAACAAGGCTTAACCTGAGTTTTGAAGCTATAACCATTTATCAACAGTTATAACTTGCTTAGAAACTTAATTTGAAAATTTTAATGTCCTATGTTGTGCTAAGTTTAATTTAATATGCATAAATGGGTAAAATTTCTAACAAGTTAGATATTGACACACAAACCAACACATTATTCGCTGAACAAATTTGGTGTTCGTGCGATTATTTTTGTTTGATTTTTTTACTTGCAGGCCTTCGCAAAAGGTTCACCTCCTCATTTTTAAGAATCCAAGCTTTTTCCGTTGAGGAAACAAGGAAGTCCTCTTAGCCTTGGTAGGTTTTAGGGATGGTTTAAGCAAGTCCTCTCAGTCCATTCCATATTCGTTGAACCTCAATCTTAACTTATTTCCTAAAATCAATAAAACAAACCTTATAATGATTTGTTAATTTAACCGCCAATTACCGACAAATTCTCTGGATAAGTTAAGCACTGCACTCCTGCCTACCGGTATACAAATTCTATAGCTGAAGGAACTTTTTCTTTAAGCTTCTGCATAGCAACATCTCTTGCCATTTTTCTCCATGGGCCCTCCTCCTCTTCTCCTTTTATCACAATTTTCCCCAGTTTCACAGCAGTCTTTGCCAAGTACTTGACAAGTTCAAAATCACTTGTGTGACCATCATACCCTGCCAATTCCACTATCTTCAGGTAATTATGGGAGCATTTGGCCTTCTTATATTTTATTTTCCTTCTCATGGATTTTGTGTAGTCCATCTGCAGCAAGAAGAAAACTTTGTGAGCAGGAAACAACTTTTGCATTGAGTCAATAGCTACCAAATAGTATTACCATTAAGCTCACAACTCTTCAGAAGCAGAAGTGAAAATATATTCCAGAATATGAAACAGTGGCAGAACAGTCTACCTATGGATTTCAAATATTTATATTTGACATCCATTTACCTCTGAATATTCATCCAATAAATCGAATATTCATTACTGACACAAATATCTACCTAATTGAGACCATTTTCTGACCAAAAGGGAAGCACAGATACTTCGTTAATGGGACATATTCAAATAAATAAACTAAACCAGAATCTACCACACTAATCCAAACGTTCATTATAAAAACACAGCCTCTCTGAAATAAAATTCATTTCAACAAACATAAAATTAAATTCATCAACTGTGAATATATATATATAGAATAGGTTGAAGAAATAATGTTAACACAGAAGTTTAAACTAAAGAGACTAACATTTCAAAGGGACACTCAACTTAAATAAAGACATTATATGTGTAAGCCATGAAACATGTATTGAATAAAAAATCATGGCAATAGAAAGAAACAATTGGGATGTGTGTGTGCTGGCGTCCAATATCAAGTGAACAATATAACAGATCTCAATTGATGAAATTTCAATTAGGTTCTAGGAACATATAACCTTTTACCTCATTTATTACAGTGGTTAACATGATTTTGCAATTCTATATGAAGAAAATGCATGTTTCACAATGAAAGTAAAAGATGCATCACATAACAGGATGGTAAAAGTTCAAAACCATCCAGTGAATCTCAGAAACAAAATCACCCAAAGTACACATACAACTACCAAGTTTTACTGAGAAAATAATCTACCAAGTGAGAATATGCATACCTGCAAGTACAACACAAGTCTGTGCAGGCACGGAGATGCCCTAAAGAAGGAAGTTAACTGAAGAAGGCCACAAACATTGTCTTCTTCAAATATTATTTCCAAATGCTTTAGATTTGCTAATATAGGAAATATACGATCCCTCTTGTAGGGCTGAAAAAGAAACAAGGAGTAAGGGACTAATATAATCCAACAAAGAGAAGGAAAACTAATACATGATAATTACATATACCAAGTACTAACCACTATTTGATCAGTCAGTTTGAGAATCTCTAGCTGAGAAAGACAGCACGAAAGTTGAGTGAAGGCAACCTCTATGAAATTATTGCAGATACAGTCCTCAGAAATGGATACCTCAACAAGCAGCGGTACATTCCTAAGAAGCAAGCTTATCTCATTTCCAACATAACTGAGCGAAACCAGGTTTGCATCACAAATCTCAATGCTTTCAAGGCTGTTACATCGTCGAATTACTAGATACTTCAATGCAATCAATGGACCAACAACCCTTAAATTTACCAAATTTGGGGAGTGAAACACTGATAACCGTTCAAGAACTGGGCAATTAGACAAGAAGCACTCAAGAACTTCTTCAGCCACATCAACAAAATTGAAATGAAGAACTCTGATTGACTTTAAGCCAAGGTATACACAAGGGTTTAGACTTGGAATTTCACAACACACAGCTGTAGAAGTAGACCCTCTGTTGATACCTAAAAGTTCATGGGGAAAATTATAGCAGGATTTCTGTCTACGATGAATGCCATCTTCTGAGAAGTCCAACTCAAGAATTTGAACTCTTTTTTTCAGTGCAAATTGAATCCATTTATTAATGGAACTTGAAAAGCTATTATCCAAATCAAAAGCAATCCTGAATTGTTCAATGTTTGGCCATGTATGCTGTTCCACCACACTATTCACCCAATCAACATACCTACGGATTTTCTGTTCTCGTTCTTCTCGATTGAGGTCAATCAAACTGTATAAAGTTTTCTCAGCATCAAATTTGAGAGTCATAGTAGATGCCAACACATACCGACACAGATACCGCCATCGCTTAGAAAGGATACTAGTAGTTGCTGCTTCATTTAGCGGCAGGAGAGTCAGTATACTAACAAGAACTTCATCTGCCAACTCACTGATTCGGTCTGCCAGGTGGTAATCATACTTACTTTTGTTACTCTTTCTCAAGATGTAATCACCCTATGAACCGAGCCAAAAACAAAAATAAAAAAAGTATGAGTGTCACAAGTGATCTTCTCTTTTTCTTGATTCTCATAAATTATGAAGTATAGAATATATTTAAAAAAAAATGCACAAAATGGGGTTTATTGTGAAACTGAAATGCATCAGCTCAGTGTTGGGAAATGGGAGTCCAAGCAGGAAATTTACATCAAATAGAGGCATAAGACAAGGGGATCCCTTACCTTCTATCTATTTCTTTTTGTTGGTGAAACTTTATCTCAAATGGTACAAAAGTCCTTTCAAGCTAACAGGTCTCAAAGAGTGACACTTTACAAGAATGGCCCAATGTTGGGTCATCTGCTACTGTAGATGATTCTCTATTTTTGTGAACGCGGCTGTTGAAAATAGCAAGGCATTGGCCAGGATCCTGGGTCTATCTTGTAATGTACAAGCTTGTTGGGTGAACTATAATAAGGCAAGTCCATTTTTCAGCCTAGTACTCCTCCTAACTTCCAACAAATGTCTGCGTACTCAAGATCAATGTGACAGTGAATCCAGGAAAACATGTAGGGCTTCGCACTATGTGGGATAGCTCTAAGAAAGAGGCTTTTCTGCCATGTCAGAGATAGAATTCTAAAGAACACGAAAGGCTGATAAAGAGACCCCAACTCTAAACACAGGGTTCTAGAGCTTCTTGGGCATGGACAAGCCTTGCAGGCAGAAAACGTTTTACTGATGGGGCAACGTGGCAGGTTAACAAAAGCTTCTTGGGCATGGACAAGTCTGAAGGTGCTTCCATGGAGAACCATCCATCTTCCCCCCAGATTGACAAAAGGTCATGGAAGATTAGATTAGATGGGGAGTGGAAGTCACTGCTAAAAATGAGGAAATTATCTTCTTTAAAAAAATAAAGTTCATATTTTAAAAAGAATAAATGTTAAAAATCCTCTGTTTCCTATACGCCAGACCCATCCTCAATCTGAGGAACACTTAGTTCTATTGTGTCTTGTTAAAAAAATAAAAATAAAAAAAATCTTCAACAAGTAATTCATTCAAGGGCAAGAATTGCTTACCTGCATTGCTTTCTTTTTTTTCCTTTTCTTCTGGGTTATGACCAGAACTCACCAGCGAGCTTTACCAGCAGGGAAAAATCTCAGCTTTATGGCTCATTGATCTCTTCAGGAGGAAGCTAAAGCTACCCTTGTTGGTATCTGGCTAAAGATTGAGGCTTTGAATAAAATTGATGCGTGAACTTGATTCAAAAGTTGTGGTTAATTTGCTGAACAAGAGATATCTCCCGGCCAAAGAACGAGGCTTTGAGGAAGAATGGCTGATGTTTCGAAGGTTCTGCCCAGTTTTGATCTATTTCGAGGAGCCAACAAAAACAGCGGCTCACAGGTGCCCATCCTCATTGGGATTTTGCTGAGTGATGATAACCTCGTCCAGTCCAACGTTGGCAACTGTTCGCCTGCTTTGCTCTTCAGTTTCTGGTTTTGTTCTTCACTTAAGTACATGTTTTTTGGGTGGGGGGTGGTTGTGCTTTTTAAGGCCCGGTACTCTCCCATCTATTGGGCTCTTACCATACCTGGCTTGCCTGAGAGTTGGTAAAAATATAATCGAAGGGTAGGGGTGGGTCGGTTTTGGTCCTAATTTTCAATACAATTCATATATAGCAGTTCATGATTTTCTGGACTCAAGACATGCTCATTTAGGTCAATCCAACCAAACTCTTTTGTGATTGAGTTAGGCGGTTTG